GAGGGAGAGAGGGGGGAGGGAGAGAGAGAGAGAGAGAGAGTTGTCATAGTACAATCATGTTGAGGGGAGAGAGAGAGAGAGAGAGAGACCGACCCAGTTGTCATACATACAATCATGTTTGAGGGAGGGAGAGAGAGAGAGAAAAAACGACACTGTTGTCATACATACAATCATGTTTGATGGGGAGGGGAGAGAGAACCGACACAGTTGTCATACATAAAATCATGTTTGAGGGGGAGGGGGGAGAGAACCGACACTGTTGTCATACATACAATCATGTTTGAGGGGGAGGGGGAGAGAGAGAAAACTGACACAGTTGTCATACATACAGTCATGTTTGAGGGGGAGGGGGAGTTAGAGAAAACCGACACAGTTATCATACATACAATCATGTTTGAGGGGGATGGGGAGTGAGAGAAAACTGACACAGTTATCATACATACAATCATGTTTGAGGGGGATGGGGAGTGAGAGAAAACCGACACAGTTATCATACATACAGTCATGTTTGAGGGGGAGGGTGGAGAGAGAGAAAACCGACACAGTTGTCATACATACAATCATGTTTGAGGGGGAGGGTGGAGAGAGAGAAAACTGACACAGTTGTCATACATACAATCATGTTTGAGGGGGAGGGTGGAGAGAGAGAAAACTGACACAGTTATCATACATACAGTCATGTTTGAGGGGGAGGGGGAGAGAGAGAGAGAGAAAACCGACACTGTTGTCATACATACAATCATGTTTGAGGGGGAGGGGGGAGGAAGAGAAAACCGACACAGTTGTCATACATACAATCATGTTTGAGGGGGAGGGGGAGTGAGAGAAAACCGACACTGTTGTCATACATACAATCATGTTTGAGGGGGAGGGTGGAGAGAGAGAAAACCGACACTGTTGTCATACATACAATCATGACACCTCTCGCCTCCAAATCCATTCCGACAAGAACACGTGACCTTTCGGAGCTGGCTGTTGAAGCTGTGACTTCGTTCCTGACAAACGCCCCCATTCTCACATGGAGCTGAGGCACAAGTCAGCACCTCTTAAACAAAAGATAATCTGTTTATATAATCATTTACGTTTTGATGTCATAATAACCTTCAACAACGATTAAAACACAATATTAACATTTTTATTATTGTGAAAGTGAATCAATCTAAAACGTACCATCATATTTCTTATTCTATCTGTATGTTCTATATTATCCAGGTTTAATTTGATTGCGTGTATTTTAGTATTTTTACATTGGAGAACGCGAGTGAAAGTATCCCCTAAATTTAAATAAGATATTCATAACACGTGCAATAGCATTACGCGGAGCTGCAGGTTGTTTTAACTGTGACGTTACAACCATAAAATCATAGTTAACATAAAGGTAAAAATCCCTATATCTACGCTACAGTGTCTTTTCATCAAAATTTACTGTAAATTAGTCCTTGTTATAACTCCGAAAAAGTCGTTCATTGGTGGAATATGGTTTAATCATTAGAACAACCACTGGTGACTCTTCACAACAAGTTAAAAAAGAATTCCTTCGCGGCGATAAAAAGATCCTTTTCTAAGTTTAATAGTTACATTAAAAGAGAAATAATTTCACGGATTATCTTGTCTAAAATTTAAAAATTAATTTTGTGTTTTATTTGATAAATGTAATAAACAAGATATAATTATGTATCAATGTATTTAGCGAAAGTCGTTCCTGTAACATTTTCATGCGCGAGTTCAAAAGTGAATTTGTCCAAGCTAATATGGTGAACATTTTGATCTGGTGATGTTGCTTACCGATAAAACTTTGCATGTGTAAGTATAGAAAAATGGCGGGAGTATATCGGCAACTTCCATGTTATTTTCATGAATATGTCCAAAAATATGATTCAGATAAAATTCATGAAAATTATATCTACCTTGTCCTAGATATAGACTCTTCGAGATAATTTCTTACCTGCTAATATGCCAGGAAAGGGAGATTGTGTCGTATGTTATATAACAGTAATAATGATACGTACCAATCCCTGTATCTGTTGTAATAACTTTACTAGGTTCAGCTTGATTACTAATACAGTGGTAATCCCCCTCGTCCGTCTTCTGGGCCCCATGTATGACCAGAGTGTCGCCAACCATGTACAATCTGAAATCAGACCATAAAGGCTGTTTTATTTGTAATAAAGCTATAGAATTCTTCCAAACGCGGGATAAACCAGAGATTTATGATGCAAATCACAACCAGCTGCTTCCAATACACACCCAGGATACGCTCATCAATGATCTCCCATTGTAATTTTCTAAAATCATTGATCGATGATACTTTTCCCATGACGAAAAGGAAGAAAGTAGTTTTGTATGAGTTCAAAATGCTGCATCGTTTGTTGCAAAAGATATAACCATTTTCACTAAACCTCAGTGCTATAACTTACACGTAATCTCAAGCCATAGTTACTGTTAGGAAAGTTATTATTTGAATTAAGATTATTCTAAGTTTCTCTCAAATCATGCTTTATTATCGAGATGTCCATTCTCGGGGTTAATTTTCCTGTTTGAAAGAACAGGAATAATAATAAGCACGATTATATATTACGGCTCCTAGCTTAAAGTTACTTTTATCATATCTCGCTGTTGTGTTACTTTTCACGAACATGACGTCAAACGAATAACGAAATCAGTCGGTAATTGCAAATTCGGATAGCTTTGACAATGGGATCTAGTCAGTTAGAACTCTTTTTCTGACTGTAGAAGTTGTTCATTTTTAAACAGAAAATCGACCAATCAGAGTCGACACTCGGAATAACCTTAATGATCTGCCACACTTGTTAAGCACGTGTCGGTGATCGGCCTATTTAACTGCAAACCTGATATTCACATAGCAAATCGATTACCGGTTTCATTCTATAGTAAAGACAATGTGAAGTTACCCAAATGAGTCATACTTTTCTAATGAACTGGTAACGTATGTGTACGTAGGGATCCAATGGTATTAATATGGACATAAAGTGTACAGTTTGCAGTAATGAATACGTGTTCTGTGAAGACCTAGTTTTGTCTTTACTATACCGTGATAATTGTGAAGTTCGCGACACCCGTGTACCCCTTGGAGTAATCCAAAATGTCTCCGTTGATGACCAGGAGCGTGGAGATTTACAACTCAATACCGTGTCGTAGCCAAGAAGCACAGTCTTCCGCCACACATTAGCATCTACAACAGAGAAAAGATTTGAAATGCTTAAATATATGGTAACAGGTCGTTTGAGATGTCTTCACAATGGTCGCCGAGCAAGCAATGACAAAAAAAACTTTGGTTATCAACCCTTGTAACCAGTCACAAAAGGAAACAATAAGTTCCTTTCTTCTCGGTTTATCGACAATACATACGAAACTACATATGATGACACAAACAGGAAGAGATATGCCATTATCCTAATGAACATTTAAACGTAAAAACGATGAAACGAAGACAAAATATTAGGAGCATAGTTCACCTGGGTATGCCATCTTCTGTGTTTAATGTGTTTTTTCGGAACTGTGTGGTTAGTCACATAGATATGAGGTCGGCGTTCGTTCATCAGATCAGAATGAACGTCTGTTAATATAGAAATACCAGACAATAGTTAACGTGAAATCTGAATGAAACCTCACTGTACCTGTATTGCATGTTGACATAATGCAGAACCTGGTCATTGCAACTGGTCCTTTACACCTGTCCCTGGAAGATGTTTTGGCGTTTTGCCCAGTATCCCCATCACATACCCTCGACCTCGTCTCATGCCCTAGACCACACGTCACGGAACACGAGGACCATTTTGACCATGGCGATAGAACCTGCGGAAGGACTGTAACTTTAGGGCAAGTGGGTTCAATACATATTCTTGTCTGGTGGCTAGGTTTATTCTGACAGTCCACTGCCGTTGTCAAACAAACACGTGATCGGATGGCGGTACCTTTTCCGCAAGATGAAGAACAGGGACTCCAGTTGCTCCATTCTCCTAATCCTGCATTGAAAACATATGGTACAGCATTATCTTTGGAGTCTGGCAAATCTACTGTAACTCAAAATTTGTATTGAAAGGTGTTATTCATTTGCGTGTTTTTATTACAACCTCCAAGACTGCAGGTGTTACTGGTAGACAATATTCGTGGGAATATTGGCACGGTACAGAATATACATACACAGGTTCTTAACGTTCTTCTTTGGCCCTATTGTACCTTACTCGAAATGTGTATTAAAAGGTGTTATTCACTTGTGTGTCTTTTATGCAGTTTTAACAGAACCTTATATAACTATATTTAGGGTACAATCTTTAAAGACGAACACATTTTGATCATAAGGTCATTTCAATGTTCCCTAACGTCGACTGTTGCACCACGGGCACAAGAAAATATTGGTGGTTACCTGTAACTTATCCCAACTTAGTTTCCTCCTCATCCCTGCCATTTTTCCTAGGCAACTGATTGACCATTACTTTAAAGTTTTGAAATAGATGTCAAATTATTATCTAAATTCCATTATCAAATTTATTGTAAATTTTATTATGAGAAAAACACACTCGATGACATGTATAACAATTTGTTAGAAGGAAGGTGGTAACAACTAATTAATACTAAAAAAAACGTATATATAATTAAGGCACAAATACCTGGCTGAATAATTTACTTTATTTCACGTCTTCTTACAACATTTACCTAGAGCAGATGCCGTTCTTGTATCTCCAGACCAACCTAATCTCTCATTCATCGCTGCTTTTGAAGCTAAATAGGATGTATTGTAGAGCTTTTGAAGAATTTCGGCAGTTGCTTTTCCAATTTTCTTAGAAATAGTATCCGCGTTTCCTCCTTGTGTTGTAAGTTGCTGAGCGAGGACTTTAGCCGACCTCTCGATCTCTTCTAGATCTGACTTAGACACGTTGAACATGTCGATCAGTTGCTGCACCTCATCTCTAAGTTCTCCGAGCACGAGTTGTCTCCTCTCCCCGGACGTCAGATGGAGACACTGTAGTACGAGAATCTCTGGACATCGCCGTCTGGGTTTGCGCTTTCCACAGAGGAACTTCACACATTTAGACATGACGGTGTTTACAATACTTTGTGTCTCAGATTTCATGTCATCTTTTCTAAAAGCTTTGTTCATACGGGTGTGATGTTCCATAACTAAATCTTGTCTTTCTTTCTGTAACGTTGCGTTTAGTATCGAATCAAGTGCTGTGTTAGCGTGTGAGATATTTTTGTTAATTCTAATTTCTATTTTTCTATTAACATTCCATTTAGGTTTTCCGCTTTTAGTCCATCTTCCATGTTTGGTCATGGCTATGTTCAGATTTAAAGGTTTGACTCTCCGGTGTACATTAATCCCATCAGTTGTAGTATTACTACGAGTATGACTTTGCCCAGTGTAAACGCTTAGCTTTGAACTATTAAGGATTTTAACTGTTTTATCAATGTATGTTACATTGCCCGTTTTTGCCTTACTCTTGGTGTCATTTAGCAATGTGAGAGTCGCTCGGGTTTTTTCATTTATTCTATCCACATCTGCATCAACAGATTTTCCGTTTTTCTTCAATTTGTTTCTCCTAGTATCCTGCCTTTGATTTCGCGTTCCTGGTTTTCTGTGAATCACATGTACAATATCCAGCCGCCCGACTGTCTGTCTGTTATAAGCAGTGGGTCTACTAGGTTTTCTACTTTTAGATGTTCTGAATCTTTTACGTTGTGTGGTTTGTTGTTCCTGTGATGACATCGCGGTGGCGGCTAAATACTCCAGTATCAAGTCATCGAATGACTTCGCGTGTGACTGACGATACTTGGTAACACTATTGACTCTTTTCGTTGTTGTCCGCTGAGAACTGGTCTTGGTGTGAGTAGGCTTGGCGGGTATATCCCGACTGCTCTCTGTTGATACCACATGTTCGACTGCAACAAAATCAAATAGTGAAAGATCCATATCATCCTAACGGTGTATAGGGTGACCTCCATGAACAACAGCAATTAGGTGGAAAACATCGAGGACAATTTTGAAAGCGGTGTGTGTTGATATACAAATGTACAATACAACAGACGCAAATCAACATGTTCATATATACAGCAAAGCGTATCGTACATGGTGATGCATGGAATCTTTTAGTGACAAAGCAGCCCCCTGTTGAATGGTTAACTCACCACTTGGTCTGACAATGATTCGGATCCCTAGTCTGACTACTTTGTTGAATGATCCTAAGTATATCCAAATGTCCAGCACAAGTGTATGTCCGATACGCCTTCGTATAATTCCATTGGGTATCAAACATCGGTACTGGTTTCTGGTGAGAAAGAAAGACCACATATAGCCAGCAGGTTAGAGTACAGGAAACTGTTAGGTAGTACACGCTGTATTGTCTCTTTTATATAGTTATATTCTAAATTGTTAAATTCACTCAATGTATTATTATCACGAGATTTATCAATGTTTACCGAAAGTGCTACCTCCTTATTTAAGTAAGCTATCAGTGACCACTTTATTTTTGACCTATTTAATTTTTACTTTCATTGAAATTGAACAGGTCTGTTAAATGTTGTATGTCCTCTGTTCTCTATAAATTGTATGTACTTGATAACCGTAGTACCTGCATGAGGATATTTCACCGTCGGTCGATGTGATGACTTCCCGCCATGACACGGGCGCGTCCTTTACCCTGCGTCCATCACATCCGATCAGTTCAAACTCGGACGTGTAATTCAAGAGTGGTGAATATGTGACGGTCCCACTGCCACACAACGGTGTAGTGACTGACACATTATAACAGCCGATCTGAAGTCCACCTACAATGTAAAACAAATCGGGTCAAACTGACAGAAACATGAAATAACGGTCCGAAAGATACAAATGATGTGAGTATACAGCCTGTTTCATTTGGTTAAATCGTTTATTTCAACAACTATTTACGTGTCTAAGCGTAATATTTAAGTAAATTCAGAAATAATTCTGCCACCGCTGGAGTTCGAACTAGCGACTGTTTGGTTTCTAGCCGGACAATCTACCGCTCGACTAAATTCCCATTAACCGAGGTTAGTAAGGCGACCTATACTCTCAACTTCTACACTACTCTCTCCTCCAAAAAGTCTGCTACCCCGAAGACAACAACAACTCAGGTTCAATATATCCAAGGACGCATCTCAATTTCCTATAGCTGGAGTGGTCACGGCACCAAATCTGTAATAGGAAGGAGTAATGAAAAACACCCTGCCTCCGCTGGGGTTCGAACTAGCGACCCTTCTGTCTCTACCGGACAATCTACCGCTCGACTAAATTCCCATTAACCGAGACCAGTGAGGCGACCTGTACTCTCAACTTCTACACCTGAATCTCCTATCGCTTGGTAGATCGGCAATGAAAAGATGGTGAATAAAAAAACTGTGTTATAGGAGTTACACACTGTGTAGAGCGTATGCTCTTTAAAGTTTATTTCCATGTTGTAAAATGACTGTCGGTTACTAAACTGACATTTCTGTTGACGTTATATAATCCGTATGTAATCTGTAGTATTGGTAATACTTTTCTAATATTAATATCAATATATCAATCAATCTCAATGACATAACCCTGACATTCACACTTAGGGATCTTAGATCATACAGACAGTATACAATTTACAGCAGTTAATTAAATGTTAAATAAACGTATTAAAAAGACGGACTTTGCTGGAATCGCACATATCATATAGTTTATCTTCAAGCACAGAAACTATCAAACATTCATGAATAAACACAATTAAATAAGGACACTTTCAACGTGCGTTCATTAGGATTCCCTATGGTGTATAAAACCACAGCAGACCGGACGGAAATACCACGGTTACATCTATATAGGCGATTAGTAAAAGGTATAAGTAGAACACTATTACCGTGAGCTTTGTTCACGTGACAATCCAGACTTGCCAGGAGAGTCACAATAGGCTTCTTTCTGAAGACGTATTTTTATCTCCCTTTTGTGTTCTATATATACAGTTGAAAAAATCTTAAACGCGGTGTTTCAAATCTATTCCTTTCAAAAAACACTAATTTACGAATAGCAACCGAAATCCGATACTGGACTAATGTCGAGTATTACATTTTGTGAATTGTGAAATAAAAATTCGGTCTTCACCTCCGTTTAACTAATTGTATCGAATTATTTTTTTCATTATATCATTGTGTATCATAGGATAGGTAACGTATACTGAACGTATGTAAATTAGATCCGCTACACACCAAAACCCAATAGCTTCAAAATCTCACCATACTTCAGTTTTTTCGTGAAAATATTGCTACGTAGTTTGTTATTTTAAACATGATTACCTCTCGATATGTTGGTTTTATTAGGTGCATTGAACTTAAAGTGAAGCAGCATTATGTATGCAAATGAGTGTATACCTGTACAGACGACTTTATGATTCAATATTAGAAATACACCAAAGGGTGTATGGTGGGCGTGTCTTTGCTTCAAAAGGAGGTCTTCAAACGTCGCTATATAGCTTGTTCACGTTATCGGTCTGACCGGTTTAAGACGCCAGGTACTATCGTGACTGACATGATAGTGTTTGACAGGAAATTCCGATATATGTGCATTGTAGGATAAATCCAGACCACCTGAATTGTTTCATCCGTATATCTCCTGAAAAACTTGGTGAGCACGGAACCAGAGACTTAGTTTTTTGTTTTTAGGAAATACATCTATAACACAGGAAACATCAGATGTGTACACAGGAATAACACTATATTCTAACGTTCTAACCTTAAACCTGATGCGGATATCGTCAGTTCATGTGGAAAGGGACGTAAAACAATTAACAACCTTATTGATATTGGCATACACCAGAACGGCATGAATCAATTGATCGGTGTACGGATTATAAAATAACTTGTCCTTTCGGTTGTATGGGAGTGAATTGTGGGCAGGACCAAGTAAACTATCGGTAACCGAGTTATTAGAGAGAACACAAAGATGCGATGCAAAGAAATGCCAGGGATTAAAAAAACCATCATCAGCAGCAATAGCATCAAGAACTCTGGAGCTAAAAAAATGTTTGGTGTGAATTTGAGATACGAAAATCATTCTTCTGGAATACGTTATGCAATGAAAGCACTAGCTTCGTATCGAAATCTTTATTTCTTATTCGAATGAGTAGCTTTGTGATCGGAAAATACAAGCTCCACGTTCTAGTTGTATTATTAATATATCTGAGACAATGTTTGGTATACATTCTTTCTTTCTGAAATTCGTTATTTCATCTTCAATATACTGTTCGAGACAATGGCATATATTTGTTAACAACGTTACTGAACAATAATAATTCGGGGAAATGTGCCACAAAACTTAACATAATATTCTCCTAAATCGTTACAAACGCAGACACCCGCACAATGGCGCACATAGGTCCAAATCCTTTGTTGGGACTGAGCTGTAAATATTAAAGATGACGAACACAATTACATAGTAAGTTAAGTTCTCCTGTCGGACAGTGACAGATTCTGTAATTTGTAAATTGTGCCGTAAAACTGTAATAGGAAAGAATAATGAAAAACACCCTGCCTCCGCTGGGGTTCGAACTAGCGACCCTTCAGTCTCTACCGGACACTCTACCTCTCGACTAAAGGGAAATTCCCACTAACCGAGGCCACACCCGTTTTCCGTCACTGCTGAATACAGCAAACATACATATGGCAGGTGTATTCCAACATTGGCTGCGGCAGTTGCAGGATAAATAGAGAACACATGATCAGTGTCTTAAGTTGTATTTTGGCATGGATGAAGAAAGACAAAAATGGCAAGCCTCTACCGAATACAGTTAAACTGAATGTGGCAGGTATATTGCGATATTGTAAGTGTCAGTTGTAAGGTTGTGACATCAAATTATTGAACTCGTTTCATAAATTCCTTATTACATCAACAATCATATAAGATCTAATAATTATATCATATTGTGTATAACGAAGGGGACAACTTGCAGTCCGTCAATAATTTGAACTTTGAAATGTTCCTCCGTTGAAGAGCACTTTCAATTTTAGGGCAATATTTCGATGTTTGCAGTATTGGACAAGAGAGCAGTAGTGTCCGGCTAGCGATCGAAGGTCACTAGTTCGAACCTCAACGGTGACAGGGTGTTTTTCCATTACTCTTTCTTACTACATAAATATGATGATTAAAATCTTAAAAAAAAACGTTGTGTCTAAAAGTAAATCCTAATCCTTTTGGAACTTATACATTAAGTTCCTGAAAAGTATTTTCATAATGTGCTAGTTTCATCTTCATGAGATACATCTCATTTGACATTTATGCCGAAAATGGCAATCTCTATTTTTGAAGGTTTAGGAGATTGTGAGGCAGACAATTGAAACCCTGTGAGAGGTCCATAAGTGTACAGCCTTCATACTTCTTCTAGTCGGGTGTCATTTTCTTATCCTCAATGACTTGCACTAATGCTGTCTGACAGCCGTATCCAGCTCTGAATGCAGATTAAATAGGGATGAAAGACACCATCAAATCAGTCACTAAGGAAAAAATGTATGGACCCATAAAAGACTGGACGGGAATCGAAGGAGTCTGACATCTTATGCGCAGTGTGTGTGTGTGTTTTTTTTTTTTTTTTTTTTTGTTTGCTGTTAATTTTTTGTTTTGTTTTGTTTGTTTGTTTGTTTTTTTTTTTCTTTTGTTTTTTTTTATCTGGAGTAATACATGCAAATTAATCAAACGACAGGTGATCATATCGACATTCACAAAAACTTAGCTTTTTGATCATCAACAAACATCGTTGATACAAGTTCTGTGGTGGTAATACTCACAAGATTGTCCATGTGGATCACTGCTATTTTCACTCTTGCTTATATTTGCCGACAGTGAAGATATTGAAAGGATAATAGTAATTAAAAAACGTAGATAACCTCTATCCATTGCCTAACGCCATACGTAACAAGCCCATGGGACGTACTTAATGTAGATAATGACGTCGTTTTGAGTTTGAATAGCCGACACATCTATAGTCTATGGAGGTCGCCATTTTCCTGAAATGTTTGAAACGTTTGTGACGTCATCATTACTTGATAAAACGTCATAGGCGCCAAATTACGCGTCATTGTTTCCCGCCGTATTACTTGTTCGGTCTTGTCTTGATTTTCTTTCGGCCTTTCCACCAACCAACATCATGCATTGAGTTAAAACATCACATCGTGCATTATATAATACAGACATCGTTTTCTCGTCAGAACCATATATATATATATATATATCATTCTCCCAGTATCTTGTCCCTCAAGTGTATACGTAGACTGTCGTGAATTCAGAGGATAAACATCGACAGCGATAGGCATTGTGACTACACTTTCTTTTTTAATCCCTCTATATCCTCGACCGAATCATAATTTTCACAGTCTCTCACAGTTCTGGGGAAACGATTAAAGATAGTTATCAATTGTCTGTGCGTGCACTGAAGTGCATTTACATAAGTGTAATTATATATTGTTTGGCGCGCGTTATTCCCCATTTTAAATTTTAAACCACAGAGCATTAAAAAAAAAAAAAACAAATAACCTTACACAGATCCTCAGAACAGCGACAAGTATACATATCCTCTGAACAGCAACGAGCCATTTTGAGGCGGAAACGGTACGTTGCGCGGCGTCTTTGGTGTCTAGGACAACGCCCTCGATATCAAAATAGTTCCTATAGTAAAAGTTAAATTGACTTTTCATTATTAGCATATTACTACATAATGTAACATTGTATTTAGATGTCTTACGCGTCTCTTTACATCTAAACTAAGTCTACGTGAAAATTCGGAATGTAAGCAAATACCCCGACTTTACAGTCAGTATAGAATAATGACAAGTGTTGTGTATTATTGCTTGGTCTTATCGCTCCATCGCTCTTGAATTAGTTACGATTCAGCATTTAGTATTCCTTATATTGGAACTCTTTTGTATGAAAAGTTGCGAAAAGGAAACAAAAGAAATAGAGAGAGGGACTCAGCGCTCTGGACAGATTTGTTTATCGCCATTTGTTACCATACTAAATTCCCGACCACACAAGACTGTATACTAACCATTATGCCAGTATGTCTGTACAAATACAGAGGGAAAGTTAAGAGTATCCGAGTCTATGGCACAACATTTTGGGTGCAGTGCTAAGACAATACGCCAGTAGTTAAGTCGTTTTAATCAAACTGAGTAAACATCCGATCGTTCGCAAAATGGTTAATCCCAATAAAGGCTTAGTATAGCCGTCGTTTTAATAATGTTACACTTGCGTTGTCCATTCGTAACCGCCGTAGCGACGACATGTATCGCGTTTCTTCTCAAACAATCTATAGCATAATGAAAGCTCTCGTCCCATTTGAAAGTACGGCATCCCTATACTGAACCCATTTGTCGTGACGTCACCGTAATTATAGGGATTAACTGCACCCGAGTTCGCCGTCGTTTGACCATATGACTGACAATTCAGCACAATGTTCTGGTTTTGAGACGAGTCCCGGTTTTGTCTGCAACACGGTGACGGAAGGCATTTGGAGGCGACAACGGAAACGTCTTCCTAACTGATACATCGCAGAATGAGACCGTTTTGTGATGGTTCGGGGTTGTATTTATGGTGTAAATTGTACCAGACTTGTTATGTTTATTAGCAATTTAACTATCATTCGATGTTGAGACGAAATGATTTGTGAAGTTCTGCCATTCTTAAGCCATGGGTTGACGCCATTTTCCAGTGAGACGACGCTGCAATGATGTTTACCCTGCAAACGGTGGCCATGCCAGTTACTAATGGTGGTACAACTGACCCCAACATCAGTAACGTCAAATAAAACAAAATGTTCACAATAAAGTATGACATAGAACCGGTCAATCACTTTTTTCACACATGATTGATAATGATTGATTAGTAAATCGCAGCAAAAAGTAGTGCAACCTTTCTCTTTTGATTGTTTTCTCTCCTATACACATGTATGTTGTATAATTATGTATTATATATTGTTTTGCTTAAATGCTGTTGACATCAAATAAACACCCATTCATTGTTACACTTTTTGTTCTGGTGTAGTTAGTATTAATAAACCTTGCTGCTATCCGTTGCACGTTTTCTAACGGCGCCGCCCTATTGCAGGACAGACATTACCATGTAGTTCTCTGGATTCTTCGAATATCAATTGAGGTTGTAGCGGAGGATTCGTAAGGTGGAATAGGGCTTGTTGGTCAGTTTGATATTCAATTTTCACTCTGTTTGTAATGTTGTAGTAGGGACAAACTATAACTTGCTTGAGGGGTGGTGTTTTGACTAGACTCACTCTCAATATTCTCACATATTTCTAGAATGCATTCAGGTCACGATGAAAAGCTATCTGAACCTTTTTGTTGCTCTCTAATAAATGTATTATGGGTTAATTGCTGAAAACATTTTACACTGTAGACGGAAGTTTGTTTATCAGCCATACAGAGAGTCCGAGGACTGTTTCCTTGGAATCTTTGGCCACGGAGGTGTAGATCCTCTCCGTCTCCTTCTTCCATTATATGCTGCTGCTTTTGTCGACTGATATCTTATGCAGCATCACATCCTTCTTCAAGCATATGCTACATGTATATTTCATACAAATTCCAGCACAACACGTCAAGTTTAATTGGGCACTTGTGAATTATGATGTCATCATGTAAGAAAGAGAATTCTCTCGCAAAAGATATAATAAACAAAATATCCGTTTTCCATTTCATAGGAGATATAATAAAGTCGTCATGTTGTTTCCTATATACCTCACTAGAGTCTTGGTTAAGTGAAAAAGAGACTCTAGAGGACTCTCTGTGCCCAATAATTTATATTTTTTCTCAATTATTTATCACTTGGGATCTTTTCTCTTCTTTCTAACTGGTTTCAAAATCAAACATTCATATCAAAGGATCAAGGAGAATGCACATATCATTGCTTTTGTTTGGTTGCTAGGTGTAGTATCCCGAAAAGCAATGTTAATGTAGAGTACCCTTGTGGTAACTGGTAACTACTTAACTGAACATAAGAGAGTCTAATTGTATCATTCAGAGTAACCGGGGTGAAGTGTCTTGACCAAGGTCACAACTATGACAACACTATCGTTTCGTGGCTTCCTGAACACAAACCGCAATGGGCAAGAAGTACCGAACCACACGCATCAGATTTTCATCAGAGGTTGCGTAAATCAACGCATGAAATCTGAGAGAATTAAGCAAGCAGTATCTCCCAAGTGTTGGTAATATTAAATTTAAACAATCTACAACCAAGATGACCACCAGTCATGCATTTTCTTTTTCCAATCCGTCCCATAATGGACACAACTGTGGACCTAGGGAATTTTACATATCAAATATGGGAATAATCCATCCAGCACTTCTCCAGATATAAGCCATAACAAACTCTACTGTCAAAATGCAAGATGGCTGTCTGTTTCCAATCAGTTCTACAAAATACAATGGACAAGGCACAACCACCTTCCACCAGTAAGTATATCAAATTTGAAAATGATACATTCAGTACTTATAAAAAAAAAACTGTAAAAATTCAAAATGGCTGCCTGTTGGCCATTTTGTTTTCAGTATTTGTCACAAAATGGACAATTAACAACAAAGTGCCAAGGGCAAACTACAGCTGAAAGACAACAAACAGGAAGATTCTGTAAATCTCTGACTTTATTATAACCAGACATATCACAGATTCTAAGTGTTTACCTCCATATCTTATACAGCAGACACTCAATTCAAAACACCTAAAACAGTGCTTTAGTGTATAAACAGTGAGTTTAAATTAGCATGACATAACATATCCATACATACAGATTGGCAATTTATAGTTCAGAGAGAAATGTTATTTATGTTGAACAGTAAAAATCTACAATGTTTCATGAAACTAAGTCCTTATTACCCACACAGGGTTAATTTCACAGGTTATTTTAAAGTTTACAGAGGAAATTACAACACAAAGTGATCGGTTTGAGAAGGTATTCTGTATCATTTGACTAGAAATGCTTGGAAAAGGGGTGCTTGTAATTACCCCTGATATGCAAAAATACAGCTGTTATCAATACATTATCCCATACCTAAGGAGTTGCCATATGAATGACAAGAAACTTGAAAACATTTTTTGAACTGGTTAAAAAAAAAAGTTTTAAACTTGATCCCCTCTTGGGAGGGCCAGGTCATCCCATTATAAAAACTTTGAATCCCTTTCCACTATAATTATTCTGGCCAAATTTGGTAAAAAAAAAACCTTCAACCATTTGGTATTAGCTAGATATTGAAATCATTAAAAGCTGATGACCTACAAACCAAATAAAGCACAAGGATGAAAAAAGATCACCTTCAGGCTGCAGAATCTATTTAACAGGTGGACAAATGACCTAGTCAACATGCTGACAGATGACCTAGTCAACATGCTCACAGATGACCTAGTCAACATGCTCACAGATGACCTAGTCAACATGCTCACAGATGACCTAGTCAACATGCTCACTACATGCAGTCGACATGCTCACAGATGACCTAGTCGACATGCTCACAGATGACCTAGTCGACATGCTCACAGATGACCTAGTCAACATGCTGACAGATGACCTAGTCAACATGCTCACAGATGACCTAGTCAACATGCTGACAGATGACCTAGTTAACATACTCACAGATAACCTAGTCAACATGCTGACAGATGACCTAGTTAACATGCTCACAGATGACCTAGTTAACATGCTGACAAATTACCATTTTTAGTTGCTAACAGATCAACTAGTTAATGTGCTAAAAAGATTTTAAACTAATACTTAGATTTAAATCTATCAAATTAACAGCAAAATCTTCCAACTAAATGTTTACACAGAAACAACATTCCTTTAATGTTTCTGTACATTAAGTTGAAATTTGAACCAAGAAGACAAATAAAACGAAGTCAAAAACATATACAAAATATACATTAACCTTACAATCACAATCAGCTTTCCCAGAGCCCTGTTACAAACACCTGGTTCCCACATTACTGCCAACCAAATGTTTACAAATAACTATCTATTCTACAGTTCAACAGTAGTACTTCTGATTTAATGTTACTGTGTAAGCTTTTTTAAAATTCCATAAAACAATATCTGATATAGGTGGGTTTTTTACCAGACAGAGGCTTTTTGCTGAATATATATGGCATATACACGTCTTCTATATAAAGAAAACAAGCAAATAGGAACAGATCCTCAGGTTAAATACAACTTACATGGACACTTAAGCATTGACAGCACGATACTTAATCATAAGTAGCATTGTTATAATTTCCATATTTTAGGATTCCTGACTTTTCTATTGCAACATGTACTTAAGGCATATTTAAATCTCAGAAGAAAATCCGAACAGCTTTTGGTAAAAAAAAAAAAACTCCCTGACTAACAAGGCTCACCACTCTAGACCACATGGTTCTTTTGACAATGCTGTTTTAACATATATTTGACCCATGATCTGAAACAGAGATCAAGATATTTATACGAAGAGTCATTAAAGCATTTCATCTCGCTTGTTTGCCAAATATCATAACCATTGGTCTATTTTTATTACAGTCGACAGGTAGAGGACCAGCACCATCAGGGCTCGACAAAAATGGCAATTTCAAAACTCATATCACAAATCTGAAGGTCAAAATGGGAAGTAGATATGTGAATTTTCATAGCTAGCTTACATAACCCTTACCACTGTTAATGAGTCTGTACTGGCATACGCTAACATTCCTCAAAAATACATGGGGAGATATATTGTCATTCTCCATCTCTCTAAAACTATACCAATAGTCAAACATACTCTGCTGTCAGAACTCGAGTTAATACAGTGTCAGACAATCAGTTACACTACATTCTCCCACTTTTCATTAATATATTCTCATCTCTAAAACACAACTCCACTGATCTAAATGTGACAAGTTTACACTGTATATCATATTGTACACATTTTATTTAACATTCATGTTCAACCAATGTATGCATACACAAACACATTTTAATCAAAACAACCCCAAAGATTTACATATCTACTCCAGTCATAAATTTGCAGTTGACCTCCATTAAGATAAATACATTTATATTGTACATTCACACAACTATCATCAAAGCTTGTGTGCACCAGTTAATTGTGTTGAGGTTAACAATTGATCATGAAGTGATTGGCTGATGTGTTCTGTCTAGGAGTATTTCATCATAGATCTGACAGCTGATGTGCAAAGTTTTTTTTATAAATTTATCTATAGATCAGCTGATGCATATTTAGTGTATTGAGGTAGAACACCTCACATGACTGGTTTACACAGGTTTTACTGTAGATCAGCTGATATGGCCAGTTTACACAGGTTTTACCTGTAGATCTGCTAATATGACCAGTTTACACAGGTTTAACTGTAGATCTGTAGATCTGCTGATATGACCAGTTTACACAGGTTTTACTGTAGATCAGTTGATATGACCAGTTTACACAGGTTTAACTGTAGATCAGCAGATATGACCAGTTTACACAGGTTTACCTGTAGATCAGCTGATATGACCAGTTTACACAGGTTTAACTGTAGATCAGTTGATATGACCAGTTTACACAGGTTTAACTGTAGATCAGCTGATATGACCAGTTTACACAGGTTTAAGTGTAGAACAGCTGATATGACCAGTTTACACAGGTTTACCTGTAGATCAGCTGATATGACCAGTTTTTTCAAGTTTACCTGTAGATCAGCTGATATGACCAGTTTACTCAGGTTTACCTGTAGATCAGCTGATATGACCAGTTTACACAGGTTTTACTGTAGATCAACTGAAATGACCAGTTTACACAGGTTTACCAGTAGATCAGCTGATATGACCAGTTTACTCAGGTTTACCTGTAGATCAGCTGATATGACCAGTTTACACAGGTTTACCTGTAGATCAGCTGATATGACCAGTTTACACAGGTTTTACTGTAGATCAGCTGATATGACCAGTTTACACAGGTTTCCCTGTAGATCAGCCGATATGACCAATTTACTAAGGTTTAATTGTTGTGTTTGGTTGGTTTCAGACCTCTATCATGATTACACTGCAGGTCGATCATATAAAACATACAAAGGGACACTCATCAACAGTTTAGTTCCAGTTCCTTCTCCACAATATTCTTATATTCATCAATGCCTCCTTCTAAAGTCTCCACACCACCATTCCTCACTACCCACAATTCCTTGCATAGCATTCGTATAAGACGCTCGTCATGAGAAACAAGCACAACTCCACCCTGTGGAAAGAAATTAGATGGTTTAAGAAATTACTCTATAAAAATAAACAAGGTATTGATTTGTCACCTGTACAAAGGTATATACTGCAACATTGTATTGTATGTAATACTCACCTGTGCAAATCTATATATAGCAACATCATATTGTAACAGATCAGGTCATTATTTAAGGCAATGCCTCCATGACACATCTAAATAAGAACAACCCCAAAGATTTACATATCTACTCCAGTCATAAATTTGTGGTTATCTCCATTAAGATAAATACACACAACTATCATCAAAGCTTGTGTGCACCAGTTAATTGTGTTGAGGTTAACAATTTATCATGAAGTGATCGATTGATGTGTTCTATTTAGGAATATCTTATCCCAGATCTGACAGCTAATGTGCAAAGTTTTTTTCATAATTTTACTACAGATCAGCTGATGCATATTTAGTGTACACGGGTTTCACTTAGATCAGCTGATATGACAGGTTCACACAACTATGGACCAAGGGGAACACACATATGAAATTTGAGAAAGATTCATCCAGTACTTCTCATGAAATGATAACGAAAACTGTTTCCAGACAGAGGGACAACAGACCACGAATGTAGGGTGATTTGAATAGCCCGCCATTCGATATTTGAGTGAAATAATGAAATGATCCAAGAGGCAGAAAGGTTCTTAATAGTCTGAGTTCTATAAAAACTGTCATTTTTGTTGTTGTAACATATATCTAAAAAACAACTTGACCTGTTTTATATATGTATTTTGGTTGAAGAATATTTTATTTTACCATATCTGGCTTTTGAGAAGATTTTTGAAATTTAGAGTCAAATTTTACCACGTTTCACACCATCCCTAAGGCCCTTTGGGTGTAGGGACCTTCTACACACATAATTCACAACTTTGGTTTACCTTTTTCCATGGAAAACTTCTGCAATAATTTCATAAATTTTGGTTCTAAGATTTTTGAGAAGAAGCAGAAAATATTAATCGTTTCCTGATAAACCATCACAACACATAATAATAGATAAAAGGCAATTGCCTCAGGCCATGTTTGCCTCAGGTTGCCCTAACAACAAATATCTGTACTTATATGTACCTGGAATTTCAGCAATGCATGACCTAGGGCTTCTATTGTCTCCATATCCAAATGATTGGTAGGTTCGTCAAGGATGAAGAAATTAGGACTGAAAAGGAAAAAGACAGATTTCATTAATTTCTAGCTTTTCATCAGTAGATGTGTGAGAGAAATTACAAGTAATCCAATAAATCACAGATTACTTCACAGAGGATTTCCTCTCACTTAAATCATCTGATAATAACATACATTAAAGATAAAAATTAAATATGGCATTATACTTTTTAAATTTTTCTCTGGTCTAATAATATTACAATCATCATCTATTCAATACACTCCACTGCAATGTAACTATAGGCCACTTGGTGATGAAATGTAACAGTGAGCATTCTTAAACTCATACTTACTTTTTCATTCCAAGCAAAGCAAATGCAACCCTTGATTTTTGACCTCCAGAGAGACTGGACACTGGTCGTAGGGCAAGGTCACCACTCACACCATACATCCCAAGCTTTCCCCGGTACACCTCAGAGTTCAGACCTTTATGGAAAGAAATGCATATTTAGGGATGTATCTTTCTACATGTGTGGCAAGCTGATTACAAGTCAGTGCAAGAGAATAATTCTTAAACTTTTACTGTGAATCAGTTAATCTACAATGCAGAATTTCTCAAAAACTGCCTGCAGATTGGTGCTCTAAATCTTCAAATTATATATCTTTGATTTATACATTACACAGTCAAATCAAACAAACAAACCTGTTAAATACAAGTGCCAGAGATGTTTTCCTCTACAGGTAGGAATATAAATGTGAATTTCACACAGTACATTATACAACCATCTATAACAGTGTGCCATGTTACTGAAGCAGTAGAAAGATCAGTAGATTGTCTATTTCTTTATTCTGTTTTTGTTCCAAGGGAGGAATCCCATCACCTACCTGGGAATCGCTCAGCCATCAGTTCTAATGAGGACAGGTCCATGGCAAGCTGGTCAACATGGTGCTGACTAAAGTAGCCGATGGAAAGATTGCGATGTACATGACGGATACCACTTACAGGATCCAGGGTTCCTAACAATATCTTTAGTAGAGTAGTTTTACCAGCACCGTTCTCTCCAACCTGGACAAAAATATTGTTTATGAATTTATTTACATACAAACAAATAAAGTATACATATTAAATTGTGTGCTGGATTAAAGAGGAATGCACGTTTTCAATTTTTGTGGGTGGGTATATTCCTTGCCTTGCAACGTCCAAAAAGGTTCAATTCGTTAGCAAGGTATGAAAAGGTTAAATTGGATAGCATTGTCTGAAAAGTTTAAATTGCTAAGCATTTATCTGAAAAATTGTAATTGCCTTGCATTGTCTAGAAAACTGAAATTTTTGAAAAATCTAAATCTCCCTGTATTGTCTGGAAAGCTGAAACTTTGACAATATATAATAATGAAATTCTACAGCAGCAAACTTCATGAAAGTTTCTCTTCTTTGAGCAACTATTCAGTAGAAGTTTTAATTGACTATAATCGATATATTTTCATTGCAAACAGAAACCTTGTTGTTTATAACAGGTGCTTGTTTACTTATTAATTCTAATTAGACATCATTAATTACAGATATGTTATATGACAGAGAAATGCCCTCTACCAAGAGGTCTCCTGCAGGATTTGACCAAATTCAATGTTTACCTAAAACCAGTCAATTTCTGTATGACAAGTTATCCTCACAAATTGATAACATAGACTTTATAACCTTATAACAGTGACTCAAGTTTATCATCCCAAACTGATGACTTAAATTGAACAAAAGTCAGTTTTAGTTGTAATATTTAAATATTTAAATGTTGTGTCATATAACATAAAAGTAACCTTTTTTAAGGTTAATAAGAGGATTTGACGACCTTTGAAAGATGATATTTCCCTCCACTTGCAGCCTAAGGAATTATCTACTTTTCTCAGGTCCACAAATCCTTATAATAACCTAAAAAATACCAATGTACTGTATATCATTGCCTCACATTAATACGTTAATACTTACTATACAAATTCTGGAGTCCATATTAGCATTTAAACATATATTTTTGAATATTATTCTCTCCTTAGAATAGTAGAAATTAACTTCGTCTAACATCAGGATAGGAGGTGACAATTTTTCACATTCAGGAAATCTGAAAGTAAATGTTGATATTTGAAACATGTTACACCACATGTAAATGTGTAAGAACCCTAGAGAAACGCCAACTCACTGGACTTTGTGTGGTCAGTTTTATATTGGCCATATTATGTTCAAATAGTGAAAAAAGGTCGAATCACTGACATTCCCTCACTTTTGATCAGTAGTTAAATGTTTTTTAAAATTTTTTTTAAATTTTATGTAGTCAAAATAATGTTTGAACTTGAACTAGAACATCATCTAAATATATTTACAGATTTGATAACACCTTGCCATCCCTGATTTTGATCAGATCATGAACAATAAAATAGAAACATGTCAACATCATCATAATTCTAACAAAAATTCAATAAAACTAGGGCAAACTATGAACACAAGAAAGATTTACACAGAGAATAAGACCAGGTGTTCTGGTTGACTAGTGATTCATGACACTTAAAACATCATCAAAGGGTTTTTTTGTCCGCGCAGAAAAACCTAAGGTGCAATAATACTGGCTGGATAAGGTGATGCTCTCATTTACAACACAAAACTCTTTGATCCAGCATATTTACACTAAAAACAGGAATTTTTAGTGTCTTTCTTGTAAAGGACAAAATAAAAGAATATTGATTCAATATACAATAATCTAAGATCACATAGCTCCCTTCAATCCTTCCCCAACCTAAAAAATGTCACGCCCACAATATTGGAACAGGACAATGAACCACTGAAGCTTAAAATGCAGTTAAGATCCAACCATCACTATATATCCACAGCCTAAGTGTCCATAGAATCTTCGAAATCAAAGACCGTGGCGATTGTGAACTTTTTTAGTTTAAGGTAGAAATTGAAGACGACATTAAAAACTGTCCTGGTGATCCTGATCATTTTACTACCACAAACAGTACATAACTTACTTGAACTGGACTTTGGATTCTTTTTCCACTGGTACAAGTTTTGGTCTGAAAATTATAAATGGAAATATTTGTAAGTCTGAACACAATTTAATGAAACAAACAGTTTTAATAACAACCTGATATACTAAAGGAAAATGCTGAACTAAAACTACTGTGTAAATTAAAAATTAAAAACTAATGTATCACACGACTCATGTAGCTAATATCATTTAGCTGAGATTAACAGATGACAGTCCTATAAGTTCAGGGTATTCAACGTGTGATGTCAACAACTAATGCTTAAAGCATTGGTCAATTATTCTAAGGCTATCCATCTGTCGGTCTGTCCTTTGTCCATTAGTCTTTCATTACCAAAGTCTGACAAGTGCACAATGATCATGAAGATTAATACACATCGCAAAAATGATGTCATCCATTTTCTGTTTCTTCAAATACCAAAAAACGCTTTTTATATTTCCAGATAAAGGACAGACACTCTCATTGTCATGTATTATCTTAGAATCACCACAAGGCGAATGAGACAGATAATGTAATCCTATCCTCTTAAGTTTTTGTGTTACAGTACTACAGAGGACAAAGCATTCAATGATTAGTAAACAGACACACTAATACAGCACTTTGATCTTAAAGGGTACTAACGTGGGGTTGAACTTTTTGTGTTTTTTTAAAAACTTTGCTATTTCAAGGATAGACTATATATCTGAGCTCAAGAAATATACTTACACTAATTTCAACAGCTTGTTGAAATGTGAATGTGTGGATTATGTGTACCATGTTCGTGTACATATGATATAGTGGATTAAATGTACCCAGGAAATCAATGTAAATAAATCACCCACGAAAATTAAAAATTTTTCAGTATACTACACTGCCCCTAATCTTTATGTGTTCCTGACATATATACTTATAATTTTTCTAATATCTTAAGATTTTACAATATACTTCACTGCCTCTAATCTTTATGTGTTCCTGACATATATACTTATAATTTTTCTAATATCTTAAGATTTTACAATATACTACACTGCCTCTAATCTTTATGTGTTCCTGACATATATACTTACAATTTTTCTAATATCTTTAATTTACTCTGGACTTGTGAAGCACGTTTGGCATTGTATCTGAACTTATCGATGAAAACCTGGAAAATGACAACAAAAAAGTGTTATAAATAAAAGTAATACTCTAAACATGGGATTAATTTTTATTTCAAATGACCTGTTTCTTCGTAATAAGAAATGCTATTCTTTAGAAAACTACATAAACAAAAACACCATTCTTAGAATAAAAATAAAAAGAAGAAAAATATAAATACAGTAAATATATTATTTGAAAAAAAAAATGCCATCAAATGTTAAAACAAAATTATGCCGGTTCATTTGGTATTGTCTTAATTATTGCAGCAAAATTGATGATAAATTGAATATTGAGACATAAATTTAATCCTTGGTGAAACACCTTGTGTTTTTTCTTGGTGTCCTGAACACATCTAAGAATTCACTTTCATTAAACTTAATTTATTATAAGAATTTTGAAAATAGTGTTTTAATTTTGCCTGCAGAAAGTCCTATAAAATCATTTTGAGGTATTATATAAATAAACATACCAGTTACAGCATAATTTATAATAGGCTTGATTCTGTCATGCACAAATTTTGCAATTAAGTGTCAAAACAGAACATCTCATTTTCCTAAAGGCAAAGCAATTACACAATTAACTCTCTCTCAATTAAAGCACTCATAACATGTCAATTTTTTTGTCAATTAAAACAATCATACCACATAACTTTTTCTCAATCAAAATTTGCCAGATAGATATTCACCATTTAATCTGATGATGAAAATTCGATATTGGCAAAAAAACCACATAAGTTATGTAATGACTTGATCCACCATTGTGTTGGTGTGACTTACCTGTATATGGTCACGGTACTGTTGTTGTGCTTCAAACTCTCTTTGTTGGGCCAGTAATCGCTCTTCCCGTGTTTTATGAAACACTTCATAGTTACCGCGGTACGTGTCTATCTTCTGGTTGTGTAGTGAGAGAATGTCAGTAGCTACAGCGTTTAGGAACTGACGGTCGTGAGAAACAACTAATATCGTGGTGGGCCAGCTCTGAAATATATACATAGTACTACTATTATAACTATATATATATATATTCTATATTCGTGGTGGGCCAGCTCTGAAATATATACATAGTACTATATATTATAACTATATTCATGGTAGGCCAGCTCTGAAATATATACATAGTACTACTGTTATAACTACATATATATTCTATATTTGTGATGAGCCAGCTCTGAAATATATACATAATACTACTATTATAAGTATATATATACTACTGAAATATATAAGTATATATATATTCTATATGGTGGTGGGCTGAAATATATACATAGTACTACTGTTATAACTACATATATATTCTATATTTGTGATGAGCCAGCTCTGAAATATATACATAATACTACTATTATAAGTATATATATATTCTATATGGTGGTGGGCCAGCTCTGAAATATATACATAGTACTACTGTTATAACTACATATGTATTCTATATTCGTGGTGGGCCAGCTATGAAATATATACATAGTACTACTAATATAACTATATATATATTTCAAATCACTGATATGTCATGTGAGACTTCTATTCAAATCAATATAAGAACAGAGTTAATTCTGATAGATATAGGAATACCCCACGTCCCCTGATCTTTTGATTTCAAAAACAGTTAAGATTGCCTCTTGACCCTTTAACCTTGAGCAATGACCAATCATATTGGATTCTGTCTCTACCTCCAATTGTGTAAACTTTTACACTTCTATCTCTTATCAAGATACATGGTTTTGATTAGACAGAAACTGAGGGTGTCAGGATAACTCTACTTATCATGAATTCTATGATTACAACTACGACAAATTTATGTGACTTTGATCATTTTTCTTTAAATAATGCTATACATTTATTTGGTCCCTTTACACTTAAACTTATTTTCCTGTACTGAAATCAAAGCAGACTAATATGTAGCTTATGACAACTTACTGAAATGTTCCAATGAAATTTTTAAACTTCATCTTTTTAACGCGTGGTAATAATTCACATCATCCAGCAGGCATTGATATTGTGTTCAGATAAACTAATCATCACTGACAAGGTATATATCTCTAAACTGTTAATAATTTCTCACTTAACAATAAGTAACTGGTGAGAAAGGACTCCCTCAGGTGTAAATACCTTCCCACTTGACAATAAGTCACTAACGAGGTAGGAATCACTCACCTGTAAATAGTTTTCCAACCATATGATTGCTTTCATATCCAACATGTTAGTAGGTTCTGTAAAACATGGAGAACACAGTTATTAAAAGAAGCTGCAGATATAGATTGGGGTGTTTATGATCTACACACTTTGGTCCACACAATAACGAGAGTGACATCATTAACAACAGATAGAATATGTTGTTTTTATCATAAAACAAGAACTGCTGGAGAATTCACTCAGCTTACTTAAATGTACATCTGAAGATGACATTTGTTTGTGTAAATATCTATACAGAAATTTGAAAAGCAAAATTTTTTCTCTTTTTTTTTTAATTGGACTTTTACTTCCTGTTCGGACATCAATGTATAACGGTTGGACCACTCACCAATCACAATGTCATGACAGGATGTATTGATCATTTAAACATATATAAACTCCCAGATTTTACCTACACACACAAAATGTTATCATTTGGATGCTGGCAGTAATGAAATATTCATATCTAGAATTATTATGTCAATTAACATATACTACTTAAGAGCAGCACTTCGGTGTATGAAAAAAGTGTTTTGTCCAAACTTTAACCATTCATAAATGCAATTAGTGACAAATACTAACGTAATATACTAATATCCCATAACTCACCTGTTAACCCATCATATTTAGGAAAGAAAATATTTTTCCAAATTTAACATGAATTACCAGTTAAGCATGTGAATTGTTTGTGATTTCAAATATCCACTTTGTCAACCAGAAAAAGCCTCTAAACAAGTTGTATTTTAAGATAAATCTGCTAAAAACATGTCTATAACTTACTTTTCTGAAGCTTAAACATTTGGAACACACACAAATTAATTTATAGAAATTTCAAAATGTTGTCAACATGCAGAGTGGTTTACTTACCATCAAGTAACAGTAAGTCTGGCCTACAAAATAAATAATATTTCATATCAACAAGTGACATAAAAAGATAGAAAATGGAAATACATCAAAAATATAAAAGACAGCTGTAAGACATGAGTACTTCTACTCCAAGCACCTTGACTCATGACTATCTTAGTAAGAATGAAAGGGTGTAGAACACCATGCTTTGATACTATGGGGTGAATATGAACCAAATCTGTTGTGAGATCTGCAAGATATGACTTTGACTATGAACGGAAGATGATGGGACAGGTGTACACAGGTAATGCTATATGAACCCTTCCTGTCATCAAATGACAGGGTATAAAATCAACAGTATTGTAATATTAACACATTTACCATATCATTACACATTGATGTTCTGGTTTTATCTCAGAAAACAAAACATTCTCCGTCTTTTTGCATGATCAAATCTGCCACCAACCATCACCAAGGAAATATCTCTAGAGTTGTAATGACTACTGCAGTGTGTAAAGATTTAAATGTAACAGGATCACAGTAACATTGAACAGAAAATTAGGGAGGAGGTCGGTGTTTACAAATAAGATCAACATGTCAGTTACAGGAATGAGAGGTATTCTTACTTTGAAAACAGTGCCCTTGCCAAAGCCAATCTCATTCGCCAGCCTCCTGAGAATTCTCTGTAACCAATTACAAAGTGTTATTTTTGTTTGTTATTGAACAATCAACAATGATTTGTAATGTCACGGGGTAAACTTAATGTTTTCTCTTCATGTCCAGGTGTGTAACTTCCTCTTTGTAACTATGTAGCTGCATACACCTCATCACAGGTTAAAGCAAATTGTATGCAAAATTATCTTGATTTCTTTCCAGATTTTGGGGGGCGGGGGGACTTTGCCCTGAGACCCCAAGTAATATTTTCTGTTCTCTGCTCTCCTAATTCATTCCAGTCTATTAACAATCAAAAATTGCTAGGCTCCGCACCTGGTGACATGAAAACAAACATTGGCTTCTTACAAATCTCTGATTTTATGTTACATTTCAAAATGTATATTTTTAAATATGCAACTGGCTTTTTGATTGTCAAAATTGAAGTTATACTAGTATTTCATTTATTGTGAAAAAACAACATTATTGTAAATTGTTCTTTCGCAGCTGTATCAGAAAGCCTACAATATTTACTTTGTGGGAGCAGCCTGCATTTTAGGTGTAAATCCTAGGCCTGCTAGAATGACACCAGCTCTTGAGGGTGCCTTTGCAGCATCCATAGCTTCTAACTCGTGGTAAATCTCTGTTAATCGTGATGACAATTCACCATCACTTTTTGTATTATTTGCAGAAAGTTTATTTGAAATGTCTCTTTCTTCCTGTAGTAAGGCCTCTCTCTTGATGTCACACTCCAGTACACTCTGTAGAGCCACTGTATCATCTCCATGGACTTCCTGTTCTACGTGTAACACTGATATATGGGAGGGAATCTTAAGATGTTTTCTGTAAGTAAAAATACAAACCCAATCAAATTTGATATCAGACACTATATCCAATATTTTCTATGTCATATTTTGTAGGGCAGTCAGGATACAGAGTGGTGCAGTAACACACTCTACTTTCACCAAGACAACCAGGGTTTGATTATCTGATTGGACATGAAAAGGCATGGAATCACTTGCCTACAGGATTATATACCAACACAACAACAGGATTACACACCAACACAACAACAGGATTATACACCAACACAACAACAGGATTACACACCAACACAACAACAGGATTACACACCAACACAACAACAGGATTACACAACAACACAACAACAGGATTACACACCAACACAACAACAGGATTACACATCAACACAACAACAGGATTACACACCAACACAACAACAGGATTACACACCAACACAACAACAGGATTACACACCAACACAACAACAGGATTACACACCAACACAACAACAGGATTACACACCAACACAACAACAGGATTACACACCAACACAACAACAGGATTACACACCAACACAACAACAGGATTATACACCAACACAACAACAGGATTACACACCAACACAACAACAGGATTATACACCAACACAACAACAGGATTACACACCAACACAACAACAGGATTACACACCAACACAACAACAGGATTACACACCAACACAACAACAGGATTACACACCAACACAACAACAGGATTACACACCAACACAACAACAGGATTACACACCAACACAACAACAGGATTACACACCAACACAACAACAGGATTACACACCAACACAACAACAGGATTACACACCAACACAACAACAGGATTACACACCAACACAACAACAGGATTACACACCAACACAACAACAGGATTACACACCAACACAACAACAGGATTACACACCAACACAACAACAGAATTACAAACCAACACAACAACAGGATTACACACAACAACAGGATTACACACCAACACAACAACAGGATTACACACCAACACAACAACAGGATTACACACAAACACAACAACAGGATTACACACCAACACAACAACAGGATTACACACCAACACAACAACAGGATTATACACCAACACAACAACAGGATTACACACCAAAACAACAGGATTACACACCAACACAACAACAGGATTACACACCAACACAACAACAGGATTACACACCAACACAACAACAGGATTACACACCAACACAACAACAGGATTACACACCAACACAACAACAGGATTACACACCAACACAACAACAGGATTACACACCAACACAACAACAGGATTACACACCAACACAACAACAGGATTACACACCAACACAACAACAGGATTACACACCAACACAACAACAGGATTACACACCAACACAACAACAGGATTACACACCAACACAACAACAGGATTACACACCAACACAACAACAGGATTACACACCAACACAACAACAGGATTACACACCAACACAACAACAGGATTACACACCAACACAACAACAGGATTACACACCAACACAACACAACAGGATTACACACCAACACAACAACAGGATTACACACCAACACAACAACAGGATTACACACCAACACAACAACAGGATTACACACCAACACAACAACAGGATTACACACCAACACAACAACAGGATTACACACCAACACAACAACAGGATTACACACCAACACAACAACAGGATTATACACCAACACAACAACAGGATTACACACCAACACAACAACAGGATTACACACCAACACAACTACAGGATTATACACCAACACAACTACAGGATTATACACCAACACAACAACAGGATTATACACCAACACAACAACAGGATTATACACCAACACAACAACAGGATTACACACCAACACAACAACAGGATTATACACCAACACAACAACAGGATTACACACCAACACAACTACAGGATTATATACCAACACAACAATATACACCAACACAACAAACAGGATTACACACCAACACAACAACAGGATTACACACCAACACAACAACAGGATTACACACCAACACAACAACAGGATTACACACCAACACAACAACAGGATTATACACCAACACAACAACAGGATTATACACCAACACAACAGGATTATACACCAACACAACAGGATTACACACCAACACAACAACAGGATTACACACCAACACAACATGATTATACATCAACACAACAACAGGATTATACACCAACACAACAGGATTATACACCAACACAACAGGATTATACACCGACACAACAGGATTATACACCAACACAACTACAGGATTATACTTACTTGGAGAGCATTCTTAGTAACGTTGTTTTACCAAGACCATTTCTCCCAACAAAGCCGTATCTCCGTCCAGCTAATAATTGCACAGATGCACCAGTGATCAGAACCCTTCAAAGAAAACAAACAGTCTTAGAAGCATTCATATCATATAGTATGGGTAAATATGGACACTCTCATTGATGCCTGTCGAAATAATATTACTAAAGTTAGAAGAAAAAATAAAACAATATCCCAGAGGGATCGTGATGCCCACCATTGTTTGATCTTTATTTGCTCTTTGAAAGTTGGATATTTTCCTTTTTTTTCTCTTCTCTGTTTTAGCAATTAATGATAAGAAATTTGAAAATTCCTTTGCAGAATAGCAATGATAATCTTTTTCTGCCAAATCCAAAATGGTTGCCTGGAAGCCTTCTTTTCTTTCTGATCAGCCCCAAAATCAGATGGGCACAAGTAGAGACTGAAGGGAACATACATATGAAATTTGAGAAAGATCCATTCTGTGTTTCTTATGAAATAGGGATAACAATCTTTCTAGAAAAAATCAAAGATGGCTGCTTGTAGGCCATTTTCTTTTTCTGATTAGTACCAAAATCAACCAGGCACACCTAGAGATCAACAGAAACATACACATGAAATTTGAGAAAGATCTATGCAATATTTCTCAAGAAATAGAGTTAACAAACATTCAAAGTAAAAATCCAAGATGGCCGCCTGTCAGCCATTTTGTTTTTCTGATCAGTCCCAAAATAAGATGGGCACAACTAGGGACCAAGGGGAACCTACATATCAAATTTGAGAAAGTTCCATCCAGTACTTCTCAAGAAATGATGATAATAAAAAATTATTTACAGACAGATGGACCACGGATGTAGAGCAATTTGAATAGCCCACCATCATCACCAGTTTAGTTTGACAAGAAGAGGAGAACAAAGTGTTACTGCTTTATGTATAAAGATAGGCCTGTCTCATAATTGTTGTCCCTTGTAAGCATATTGATTCTACACTGCCATCACTACTTTATAATACTTAACTGAAACAAGTATGAAGGATTAAACGATGTGCAGATCCACTTACCCAAACCATAACAAACATCTATAAATAAAATGTACATCTCACTACTGATTTTGCCAATACAGTTGCTGGACATGAGATGTTCATAATATCCCACTATCATCATCTCATTCTGTTTTCTTTAAGTGGCATATCTAAATTTTTGCTACCATCTATAGTTACACCAAAGCTCTGCTGTAGCTTTAAGCATTACTTACTTTTCACCAAATGCGATATCAAAGTTGTCAATTTTAATGTCATATGATCTGTTAGCTCCAGAGGCATCAAACTTGACATCTTTTCTGTTGAATTGTTGACTAGCACTGGCTTCTTCCTGCGCCCTGGAAAATAAATAATATATAAATATGTATGTACCTTCGATGTAAATGGCACTCTTCAGCTGATAAAGAACTGTAAACTGAACTGCCTACATGTTCACAACGAGGTTAGAATTGGCAGCAAAAACAAACCATCAAAGTGAGTATATTCAAAGTGAATGTCTGATATCAAATAGACAGTCAAACCACTCAAAGTAATCTTAGTGTCTAATACCAATGTAAAACAAGTATGATAAGACACACCATACCATTTTAATATCTTTGTTAATGATTTCAATAGTGCAGGTCAGTTGTAATTACAAGTGCTTTCCACATTTAGCACACCAAAACATTTCTGCCATGTAAACAACATCATTGGGTATTTGGAAATCTACAAATAACTGATATAATTACATCAGGCATTTCCCTTCACAATCAAACAATTAAATGGTTTAATGGAAAATAAAACAGGAAGAAATTTTTCAGTTCTTCCAAAGATGGCAACTTTCTTTAAGAATCCCAAATTTCTGATCAACTTGTTATTCTATCATTACCTTTTATATACACCATTGTGACATACCTCCTGATACCATATGTATGTAAAAATCATGGAAGGGAAATAACTCTTCAGAATATAATTTGAACATTGCTACAAAACTATTACTACTTCAGTAACTAATCAAACACAACATGGTTGATAAGATTGTTGGGCAAGTAGATTGTTTTTCTCTCAACAAACTTTTATTGATAGACAATCTGATTCAAGTGTATCCCACCAAATCCTAAGAAGGATGTGACATTATATAGCACTGTCACAACCTTTCCATAGGACTAAGGTTATCATAATATTTGTGTATTCGATTCCTTTCTAGGAATTCTATTATTGAAAATATTACTTAATCCTAATTTCTATTCAATTATTTTTTTCGAATTTGTCAGTTATTTCCCACAGTGGGTCAGCGTTTAAGTTTTTACATCACATGTTAAAGTTCACAGTATATAAAAATTAAGACAATCAAAGAAAGGCATGGAGACATGAATCAGAGACAGCTATTTTAATTTGTCATTAATCTTGAATGCTTACTGATTGTTTTAAAGTTAAAAAGCTTCCTTAAACGGAAAAAAAATTCACTTAAAAAGTAACTAAAAACGCTGCTGGCATAATGTTTTGCATAATGTTACTCTCATTTCATAAAAAAAAATCTTGGTTTTATTTTACTGATTTGTTGTGGATTTTAAGACATTTAATGGCATTAACCGGATAAGTAAAACAGAAGTAGAGAAATCTAAAACCAATTGCAGGCATAGGAAATACCATTATTTAAGAACCACAGTGACATTTAGATATTCATGTTATGATGTTGTGTTTTCTAAACTTACCCATTTGTCTTTGGTTTCGGTACATTTCCTTTCCGATCTTTGTTTTTCAGAATTTTTGCTTCTGCTTTTTCTAATTTTTTTGGATCCACTTGCTGAAAGAGAATTGAAATCAAAGATCAAAACAACTCGAGGATTATTCATGTAAAAATGTATATCTGCATTTTCTCAAAAACTTTCCTCGGACCTCCATCAGTTAGAAGCAAAATTCTTGTATAAATGCCCCAGATTAACCCATTAAAGCTGTTTGGATAAAAAGAAAATTTAAACCCCTTGAGAACCTACAGAAGAAATTCAAGTGAAACAATGTAAAGTAATAATTAAAATTCATATTAAGGGTCGCTGAGCTACCATAACCAAGAGAAAATTAAACGTTATACATTAAAAAATGTTTATCTAATTTAAATACAGAAATTGAAACATTCTAAACATATTTATTACACAGAAAAACAATCATATTTCACTCTGACAATCTTTACAAACAATAGATGTGAAATAGAGTATAGCCAGGAGTACATAGGACAGGATAGACAATTATCTACATCATACAGGTGCCTGCATGAGCAGTTCTGAAGGTGTCTAAGATTTCCTGACAAATGTGGTATTTTTTTAATATGACTGTACCGATGCATTTTCCTTCTTTGCTATCCAGATACTGTTGGTTTGTACTAGTGATTCGCTTTCCTCGCCCAGTAGAGACATTTGAACTGGAGTAGTCAGCATCCTTTTGTGAGATTGCTCTGGAGAAACACTGTCCCGAGACCTGTTTGGCACAAAACATAAGCCTCAGTATTAAAACCTGGCTGTAAGTTACCAAAACAAAACTTTCAGTAGAAGACACTTTACCTCACGATGATTTGAAATTTTGACTAAAAGTAAGTCAGGTAGTATTACACCATTATATGCTTTCAATAAATCCTAATTTGCAAATCTCTCAGTAATTTTTGAAGGATTTTTCTGGCAATCCAAAGTACCATTTCCAAAATTTTGATGAGACCAGTTACAAAAAGATATAGTTAGTTCTCAAAATTTGAGTGAGTTTTACAGGAAAAGCAACAGTCCAAAAAATCACTGAAATCTGTTGTATTCAATATTTCAAATATATTTTTAAAAATTCACTATATGTATGTTTTGAGAAAATCTAAACATTAAATTTTTCATACCCATTCATGATATTATATAACCTCCCACATATATCCTTGATGTCATCTTCAGATTTGTTTTCATCAGTTTGTAATAACATGATTCCAATGGCCTCGAACAGGTCATCTGGTGTGTCAAAGTCATCATGTCCATCTTCAAGAAGACCTTCAAAACAATAGAAAATGAAAAATACACACAATTTCTATAATTCAATTTGGTAAAAAGTTGTCCAAAAAATGATAGTTGTAGCTTGGCTGTGTTCAGTTTACATTTTTGTGGAAGAAAGAGGTAGTAAGGCTTTTAAGCATCTCTATTACAATATTAGTGGAGTTGTAAAGGTGAAGTATTTGGATGATCTCTATGTAATGGGCCAGGTTGGTCTGGACATTAGCTATATCATAAATAATTGACGACGGACAATTTTGCAGGCATGCTCTTCCATCTTCATATTAGATATTTAAATGTTTCTATTTTTGAACATATGTGATGCAATTTCTTTGTTAGTAATGATGTTGAAACAGAAATTCTACCATCTTTTTTCCTTTTTCAACTTGATATACTGAATCTGCTTGTTACAGAGTCTAAATACAATACACAATCAAGGGTAGTTAATCAAATTTGATTATCATTTGAATGCCAACCACAGAATGGGTCACTGGCTTCCCTAGTTAATTTGTTACAGTATAAATGTTACAGTTCTGACATTCATCAACTCCCAAGTCAATACATCAAAATAAATTAGAATGTTAGAATAATTAAGACTACACTGGAAACATTGTTATTTTCTTCAACAACAAACTTTGCAACAGTTTGAATGATTTTTCTTTGAACTACTTTTTCTTTCCAGATATAAATAAAATTAGGTTCAGTATGACTGGAAACCACAGAAAATGATAAATCTTTTAAAATAGGATTTAATATAACAATGGATGCAGATGAAAGGCCTCCATATCCATATATCAGTGAAATTACAAAAAAGCAAACCAAAAATTTAAATAAAAAGTGCCAAGTTATTGAATGAACTTTTTCTGAATCAACAAGAAATTGAATTTTAAATGTTACTTCTTCATCCAATCTTATTTCTAATTGTTTAGCATTACATGAGTCTATGACATGCTGCAGTAGACTGTTCAATGAATCAATAAGTATTTTTTGTAGGGTTTTTCAGATAAGTCCAAATCACAATTCCTAAATTTTGATTTGTCCTAATATTAAGAGTCATAGTGGGTTTTAAAAAATTTAGAGAGTCCCACAGGAATAGCAAGAGTCCATGACTCAAATTACCGAGTCCCAAAATTTACTGTCCTTAATATGATGACTTAAGATCTTTTTCCGGGATCGGTGTTACGACGGATTTTGAAAAAAATTATGGATGTGCCGTCATGTCCTGATAAACATGTAGAAAACGTTTGCTGGGATTCTACTGTCAAAGTTCTTCACAATTTTGAAAGTATTGATCAGATCCTCTCTTGTAACTTTCATATAAAGCTAGTGTTATTTTCCTTTGCACTACTCTTTCTTTACACACCAGGTATAATTCACTTGATGTTCAATATGATCGGATCCCAAAGAAGATGCCAATAACACTTATCATGATCAGCTGCTGTGTTGTGCAATACTCTCAAAAGTGTGCAGATGATCGTGGATTTAAGGACGATTTTGAATGAAAATCATTAGACATTTTGATCTTCTTTGTACATAATAACATCATTTACAACTATCCATACACATATTTGATTTACCATTTATATAATCGACAATTTCTGTGTCAATTGATGAGAAACATTCCGTCAGTACGGCTCCGTAGGCCGCCATGCTGTCAGACTGTAATCTCTAACCAAAAAGAAAAGGTCACAATAAGGCAAATATCGGCTTTTTTCCGATAAACTGTACAATATTTCCCTTCTATTTGCGATAACATTTATAATATGAGTTAATGTTTTATTATTCTAGACCACTGATAAATGAACAAATTAATATATCTAAATATACTTTTATTTAAGGGTAACGATGTCTCTAGGTGCGTTCGTATCGCTAAAAATTGAAAATATTTATTGTTATTTGATGTGTACTGCATCTCGTTTTGCATTTTGATACTATGAATTAATTTTACAATTGTATAAAAAAAATCACGAAGAATTTATTCTTGAAATTAGTATTGATTACAAAAAAAGTTTCTTTTCCAAAAGATAACTTTTCTGTAACGAATGCACCGACGCAATTATCACTTCCTAGATTGCTTTTGTTTAGGTGGTTGAGCCTTCTCATTCGGTCAATTGTACAAGTAGTGTCTGAAAGGAAGAAAAATGCTTCGGTGACATTCACCTTATCATTACACGGGTTAGTATTTAATCTTTTGGCGCTTATCCCACATGGTAACGTGATGTGAAATGTAACTTAAAGTTGTCAACTGATAGACAAACCCTTAACACGATACGGTTTCAAGAGATGCAGATTGATTGGTTGGAATTATTATGACGTTTTATTGGCCTCTGTTTATGTCGTTCGTCAACTCCAGTCCAATATGAAAAAAATGGATGGAACGTCAGAATAATTCGGACTGCAGAGTGGTGAAAATTAATAGGAAAATTTACGGTCAAAATAGTGATCTGATTGAGAACTTTGTGCGATATGAATCGAAGCAGGACGTGTTTGATGCTGGTTAATTTGCGTTTTGAATCCGTTATGGTATACCATCTTACAATGTATTTCAATTGACCAATCATAGTAGCAGAAGACGCTTCCTCTCCCGGAACACCTGGTCTTATTCTCCTTATACTTTTTCAAGAGTCTCCATGTAAATCTGTCTTTTGTTCTTATTTTGCCATAGCTTTATTAACTTTGTATTTTGATTATGATAATGTTGAGATGTTGGTATCATTTTAATTCATCAATATGTCAAGTTTCCTGGATTTGTAATATGATGTCAATTTATAAACTGGTTGGGAAATTTATGAAGAGATTTTGACTTATGGTTGATTTTGTGATTCAAATACAATGTACACTAGTTTCTGCCTGGTTGTCAGGAATTCCATAAAGAAAGCATTACTATGTTGCTAAGGAGGTAATTCATAAAGAGAGTGCCGATTTTGACAAAAACATTAAGCTATCAGCGATACTTTTGAAATTGATTTCGAATAATGTTGACATACAGCGACCTTATCCTAACGTTATAAGCCTCGAGCATCATTGACGAGTCTTAGAAAGAAATAAAATGTGTTTATGAAACACTATACCCCCGGTTGCAACAAAGTTCTAAAGTGGAACATTAAAACCGTAATGTGTAAGCTACGTGCTAATTACATGCACACTTTTTGAAACACTTATGTTTTACAGTGCCATAGTTAAGGTCAGTGCTATAATTTTTGAAATGTAGGTCAAACGTCAGTCTAAGTTTTTTAAAAAATGGTACATCCGGAAAGGTCTTGACACAAGGAGCACACATGCCAAATATGAAAGACACACCTCGTACGTTAAAGTTGACAAGTTATCCGAATGGATAAAATTTATCGTTATCTGACACCACTTTGTCTAACTCTAAATATGGACTAAAATTGTTAACTTGTGTAGATGAGATATTGTCTTATCATTATATTTTTAGTGAATTTTTCTACTTTATTGTTGGACTTGCTTAATGAGTGATCGTTCGTTTGTTAATCTTGTTTTCATTTGAGAACGTAACATTACTTACATTTATGTACTTGGATTGACCAGGATATACATAGTTGAGTTTCGTCAACGAAGGAGAAGAAGCATAACCTTTCACAACACCTGGTCTCATTGTACTTTTGTAGAGGAGGGGCAGGGAAGGTGACTCCATATAAACTTAAGATTCTTTTGTTCACTTTTTTGCCTTAGTTTAATCGAATTTGAATTTGAAGTAAAATTTGTCAACATGTCGGTATTGTCGTTGTGGTTTTTTTACAATCCACAGAAAACAGTACAGTCCTTACGTCATAGTTTTATTCATGAATGTGTACCTAGTGGCATGTCTGATCTCAAAAGTTTTCTGCTGGCCCGTTTCATTCTCATCTTAAGGTGTATGCATGAAAAATTATTATTCTTATAATGATTAACATTTACTTAATAGAAGCATTGTTTTCAAGCATACTTAGAACGAAGTTTTAGCAACACGAGCAAAATTTCATGGATACAAGGTGTGGTAGATTTTCCTGTACCTCTTACAAAGATCACCATGTAAATCGGTCCTTTATGTATTTTCCTCGTTTAAATGATTCTTTGATTGTAATTGTTTTGATATATATCTTATCTACATATCAGCACATCATTTTTTCTGTTTTCAAATTCATGTAAAGATATGGCACGTTGATCGACTGAGTACATACACAGAGAGGCATTCCTTAGATACAAATAGCTGTATGTTGATATGGTGTTAAACAATATACAACCAAACCAATCACTAGGTGACTATACTAAGTTATGACAAGATTTCATAAACACGTGATAGAACTGAGCTGCGTGAGGTTGACTTAACATTTGACATATGACATAAATTTATCCTTTAGGGGTTTCCACGTAAATCATTCTTTTGTTCATATTTTGCTCAAGTTCAGATTCTGTTGACATGTCGGTATTTTCTTTCTTGTTTTAGATTTGAAATATATAGCTAATTTGTTTATGGGGTGTGTTATGTGGAAAAAATATTACAAAAATAATAAGAGAGAAATAATCTACTAGAACAAATTAATGACAATAAAGACGTTTTAATGATAAAACAGCAAATAAATAAAATCAGCTGTAAAAAGATTCCTTCATTATATTTTAAATTCAGCAGCATAAAAACATTGTAAAGAATGAGGATAAAAGATACATTTAGATCGCCCAGAATTATCGGGACCTCAAGGCCGTCCAGAAGTAACGGGACCTCAAGGTCTACCAGAATTATCGAGACCACAAGGTCTCCTAGAATTATCGTGACCACAAGGTCTGCCAGAATTATCGGGACCACGAGGTCTCCCAGAATTATCGTGACCACAAGGTCTCTAAGAATTATCGAGACCACAAGTTCTCCCAGAATTATCGTGACCACAAGGTCTACCAGACTTATCGTGACCACAAGGTCTCCCAGAATTATCGAGACCACAAGGTCTCCCAGAATTATCGTGACCTCAAGGTCGCCCAGAATTATCAGGACCTCAAGGCCGTCTAGATATATATGGACCTAAGGTCTCCCAGAATTATCGGGACCTCACGGCCGTCTAGATATATAGGGACTTCGAGGTCACATAGAATTACCGGGAAAATTATTGAAGTCTGCTCAAGGATTTGATTTAACACCTCGTATATATCTTCTTGTCATATTCTCATTAAATCATTGGCTATTTTATAAAGATCATTCACGATACTTAAATAAAAATGAATAAGACACATAAAAAACACTGTCAATTAACCTTGACTGTCTATTTATACAGGGCGGGAGACATTCAGGTCAGGTAAGGAATCCACGTCAGTCACACAGTAACTCGTAGTTGTGAAAAACACATAAATCAGATAGAAATGATATCTTTTATTAGTTGAGGACATGCTGCCAAATGTTTATATGTATACAATTATATGTATGTGATGTGTATAGACTGTTCAAATGACACACAAGTGATTGGCGCCTTATAATACAATAAGATAATTAGAACCAAACAGTGAAATGAGCTGCATCTTGCAGCTGTTTCATCCTCCTCGGACACGCCTTTAATACTACAGGGCCTTTCTGAAACCTGAGAGGCGACGAGGAAAATCCAGAGTGATCGACAGAAATGTCAAAAAAAGATGGGAAAGTGCACCAGCCCTATCATTCATTAAATTTCATAATTATCAAACCTTGACTGTACTTGTTTATGACGTATTTATCCTCGTATTGGTGATCAGGGATGGACTAGTGATCTGTGATGTATCGTATTGGTGATCAGGGATGGGCTATTGATCTGTGATGTATCGTATTGGTGATCAGGGATGGACTATTGATCTGTGATGTATCGTATTGGTGATCAGGGATGGACTATTGATCTGTGATGTATTATCGTATTGGTGATCAGGGATGGACTATTGATCTGTGATGTATTATCGTATTGGTGATCAGAGATGGACTATTGATCTGTGATGTATCGTATTGGTGATCAGGGATGGACTATTGATCTGTGATGTATTATCGTATTGGTGATCAGGGATGGACTATTGATCTGTGATGTATTATCGTATTGGTGATCAGGGATGGACTATTGATCTGTGATGTATTATCGTATTGGTGATCAGGGATGGACTATTGATCTGTGATGTATTATCGTATTGGTGATCAGAGATGGACTATTGATCTGTGATGTATCGTATTGGTGATCAGGGATGGACTATTGATCTGTGATGTATCGTATTGGTGATCAGGGATGAAATAGTGATATGTGATGTATCGTATTGGTGATCAGGGATGGACTATTTATCTGTGATGTACTATCGTATTGGTGATCAGGGATGGACTATTGATCTGTGATGTATCGTATTGGTGATCAGGGATGGGCTATTGATCTGTGATGTATCGTATTGGTGATCAGGGATGGACTATTGATCTGTGATGTATTATCGTATTGGTGATCAGGGATGGACTATTGATCTGTGATGTATTATCGTATTGGTGATCAGGGATGGGCTATTGATCTGTGATATATCGTATTGGTGATCAGGGATGGACTATTGATCTGTGATGTATTATCGTATTGGTGATCAGAGATGGACTATTGATCTGTGATGTATCGTATTGGTGATCAGGGATGGACTATTGATCTGTGATGTATTATCGTATTGGTGAT